TAACATTCAATTCATATTTTACATATATATAGTATCGACAATATTGTAACTAAGCTTTTGTATGGGAGTAATGGAGAGGGTAATACTCATAGTTGTATGGTATGGAGTTTCGGAATTCTTAGTACAGAATCAAGTGTTCTGCGTAAACCAATGCATTTTCCGGCGGAAAATTTCAGGAACTTCCACTCAACAGCCCACTCATAGATGTCTCAACATCGGTGATGATTTTGGCATATGTTCTTTCTGTCTATCATGGCGGAATCCAATCAAGCGGAAAGCCCACATTGCTTGCCCCCTTCCAAAGTCTAAATTTAGCTAGAGAATATAATAACCTAGCAACCGTAAAATGGCACTTTTTATTATTTGGGAAATATTCACTTAAGAAGCATCTGTCGCTTGCTAAGCAACACAACATGTAGATGTAGTGAGGACAGAGTCGGTGAAAACGCGTTCTTCGTGTGACAAAACTAAAAAGAAGAATATATATCTTTTGTTTCATGGAAAACATTTATGGCTCCCATGGTCCGCGGAAAATTTCGGAATAATATCCTCCGTTCTTTCCATTCAGTATTTTCTGTTGCTTTCACCGACGTTAGTATTGCAAGGAGCCCTAATTTTAAGATTTTGTAAAGGCTTATTGAAGCCAACATCAAACTTCTAAGGACCAATCGACGCAATGCACTCACGTCGTTCATTATTTTTTCGAGTAATGCAAAGTTCACGATGAATTACGGCCGCCGAGCACTGGATAAAATGTCACCAAGTTTTCCTTCTGGCTGTTCAGAACAAAACTTTACATGGCGTGGAAAATGTTGCAACCCGAAGAATCTCTGGTGGGTTGCCCAGAATTAAACGCACACAATAAAAACTTGCCTACACACTTCCATGTTAAGTTTCATGGTAAACCACAAATTTATGTAAGTGAAGTCTACGTGAGGACCAGTTTTCTTCGGAGAATTGCCACGGAAAATTATTGTTTATCATAAAAAAACTTCTGGCAACAAGTTTCTTATAGCAGGACCCAAAAGCAATGTATCTGAGATCTCATTCAGGGTATCGTTTATCTGCCTCTGTTATCGAGGTTTATTATTTTTCGTTTGTTTTGGGATCAATCGGTACACAAAACTAGGCTAATACTGCTGCAGCAGCGTCATTTTACGAGATTGATGAGAATCAAGGATTATGAGCCAGGCGTTGATGGCCAAAGGGTCAGCCGGCTGAGGTGCACTATATCGGTTTACTAGGCATTGCGGCGCATGGAGTTAGAGCTGAGCTTAAAGCTATAGGTCTGATGAAAAGCCGTTCTCCACTTGAGGAAACAGCTACAAAAGTCAGTGTGAGCAACTTTTTTGTTGCGGAACCGTTTCGAGGGTTGGCACTCGGATTCCGCGCAAAGTAATTGAAATTTACGCCTCCTAAAGATTTGTCTGCCAGCAAAATTTTTTCCCTGTATTGATCATTTATCCATCCTCCAAAACACAGGGTACGATATTTGACCAGATTTGGAAACTCCGTCCCAGACAAAACGTAAGTAACTGCCAAACCACACATACCGCGATCTAGATTCTTTAAACCGGATTCAAACAGCTTTTGTATTGTTTGGTTTACTCACTTGTTATCACAGTCAAACGATTCCATTCAAACTCGAGGTCAACTTCCACTCCAGGGGATTCATTCAACCTGATATTTTATACGTCGAATCTCCGTATATTGCAGATATCGGATATTTTCTCCAACGAATCGCTCCGCTCTCTCCATCATTCTCCCTATTCTACAGTTTGTATATGGGTTTGTTTTCCATGAATATCTAGACGCAATCTCGTTTATCACTAGGACAGCTGAACAATGCACTTTTCGCAGATGATAGGAAATTCAAGTGCGTTTTTCTTTGGGGCAGCAAACTGTACAAACATAGGCCTCAAATTCTTCTGCTGCTTTGCGTACGCACCCAGTTTGAAATGTGGCTTCCCCTTTTGTCAACTAAATAACCCGTTATTCTAATCTGCCATCTGTCTAGGCAACTAACTCAACACCCGGTGCCACCTTCAATAAAAGTATCCAATTTCGTCCTCATTTTCTCATTCAAACAACTTCTTGCTTGATCCGATTGTTTTCGAAGTCTAACCAATTTACTTGACATCTGCCATAAAGGCCTGATGGTAACTTGACCCCAGGAACAATTTACGGGCGCGGCTTTACCTCTTGCCATACAATGTGCTGTCGTTAACCCCAATCAGGTTGCCGTTCTCACTAGACTCTATTCGAGCTTGCATCAACTGCTGCAACAATTTTGACGGAAATAAATTCATGAATTGTATCCCTAGCAATTACGTATTGTGTACTTATGGTGCCGGAGTTTATTGAAGAATATCAGAGTTCAGATTTATAGGCTAGTGACTTCCTGCTTCACTCAACGGGGCTTTCACGAAATCGTCAAGCATCCTATAGTACTTGAGTTGAATTAATTTCCTTGGATTTCGGAAACACGGTTTTCTGAAAATACGAACAAATCCACCGATATTCTGATCCACAGATAATGAAGTCACTCCCTGTTAAAGTCGTTTTAAAGCTCGCTCAATACCGTCTACTTTATTGGCGAATCCCGTTTCTGGTACTCTTCTTATAATCTCTAATTATCGCCAGGAAAATATTGTAGGCATCGGAAGCATTGATTCCGCAATGTTCAGCAAATAGACAGCAGGGAAAGCAAAGTATTCCACAGTAAACACTGGCAAAAATTTTCCCAGAATAAAAATTACTAAGACGTTTGAATTAGAATAAAAACCGTTGGCTAATTTGCATCTAGAAAATTACTGGATGTACTCATGGAAAGACCAACTAGAAAAATTCGGCACCAACGCGAAAAACGACAGCTTGACGAAGCTCAAGTGTGCCATAATTCGGCTGCCGAGAAAACTCAAATGGCCTTTAAATGCTTACGGGCAGCCAGCCAATGCTGAGATTAGTGTATTTATTATAAGCACTTACCACTTGCATTAGTGCAAGAGGTTACATCGTCCATCTTTTATTGCCGATGTATCTGACGTCTTGAGCTCTCATGCACGTATGGCTCTCCACTCGGTGTACGTTTACGCGGCATTCAAGGCTGTGCGATGAAGAAGAGCATGCGTTGAGGGAAAACAGCCTCTGTTTTACTTTCTTACACCTCAAGCATTCAGCCGAGGCAACCGCCGTCCCTATCGCTGACACCTGTCAGGATGTGGCAAACTACGTCAGCAATCACTGGACTTATGGATTCGCCTGAGACCATCTCTCGCATCGATTGTTAATGCTAGCACAAAGTGGACGGAAGGCCCATCACCCTTCGTGGGGATTTATCGAGTGCGCCTTGTTGGTCTTTGAAGCGCCATTCTAAGATTTCCCCTTGTTTAAAAAGGATCATAGTTCACATAAAATCGCTAGTCGAGCTTTGCTGAAGGACGCCTGAACAGACAGGAGTTCGGCACGATAGCTCATCACGACCGGGGTTTATTTGGGTCAACTGGCTTGTGCCAGCGTTTAGACGAATTGAGCTGTAATAAAAAGTGCTCAGCCCATATTTCCAGACAACGACTTAACGAGCAAACTGCAGTTCCGTCATTTTCACATTGGGCTGAACATCGACTTCAAATGTACAATCTTGTGATTCATCAAGACTAGGTTGTCCAACTTTTTTATCCATATTATCCTCTAATACTACTTCATCCGTCGTGCTTGCCGAAAGGATCAGTGCTGATAGAGTTTGATAAAACCCAGTGTTAGTCTGGCAACCGCGGTCCGTCGAGTCCCATGCAGGTATGACAAAAAGACAGAGGTGACCGCCTTAAAACGCGTTGTTTCTGACTAAGCCAGGCATCCGTCAAGTGCAAAGACGGATTGTAGAAGCGCAGAACGCGCCTTATTATTCAATGAGTAGGGAGGAGAAGTAATGGGCGGTCGGTCGGCGAAGAGCTGCTGAGTAAAGTGATAATTTTCGGTTACCCAGGTCAAATAAGAAGGATTTTTCGACGTATCACATGTTGAATTTTCGATAGGAGGATGGTGGATTACTTTGAGATCCCTGTCCATAGCCTCTGATTGAAAAGCTCGACTTGCGGGCCAGTGGTTGCTAGAGTTTCATCCATTGCTCTCCAGTATCCAACGAAACAATCATCCGACTCGCTCTGACTCAAGGGGCCAGGCTAGCTCTAGAACGCAAAAAATAAGATGTTTATGTCCCCATTATAATGGAGCAGCCCAGAGCATGTGGCTTCCGAGCAGTGACAGACTCTTGCTTCACAAGGATTTCGACCGTATTGAATGATGGGATTGAGTCAACTGTTAGGTGACGTGAGTGTATGTTTTTCATAGCTCCGGTAAAGGCAGAACCGCTGCATTCATGAATACGGACATGCTGTTGGCCTGGAGACTGCCCCTTACTAGCCTTAATTACCTAAATCACTAGACAGTAAATTTTGCCTCCAGACCGCCTCATTATATGATTGCTGCAATAGTTGGGCCCCCTGGTCTTCGCTGCTCTGCACACCGTTGGGCTTCTTGGTTTGGTTAAAACTATGAAGGTGTTCATTGTTTGCCATTGCCTAGCCCCAAGTTATTAGTCTCAGGAAATGGAGTTGCACACGCTTTCTAAATAATGGACGTTATTGGTTGCCATCAATGAAGCAACGGTACTCATTTATTTATTACCAGATGTAGTTATGTTTTGTGGTTCAAGTTTGATCCATAATCGACCGTTCCTGTGCATGCTGAGCAGTATCTCATTCAGCCCTCATTCTCACTTCGGCCGCAAGGTATTTCACTTCGGTTTATCGGTTACGAAGCGATTAACTATGTGCACATTGCTTCTAGCTGCTCAAGTTTCCACAATTGGCATGCGAAGGATGTAGATCATGCAAACAAGCATTTGAATTGATAACAATTTCGTTGGTTGGAAAGCAGACAGCTGCAAACTAAAGCGATAGGTTTGACCGCGCCACTGTATCATGTTTATCCGTTATGCAAGATGCCATATCATTGAATTCAATTCTCTGCGATCACATAAGAGGGCAACGAAAAAATAAATGAAACCTTTGAATACGGAACCGACTGGCTTTTAGAACGGTAGAACGAAATATTTTCGAAGCTATAATATTTAGGAACTGATATACCCCCCAAATACAGGCAGCAAAGGAGACTGCCGGTTGCTTGCAACTATCGGATTCTACGCAGATTTTCTTCAGATATCTGTATTGGAAAATCTCGAGAATGTGTTCTACGAACATATTGAGTAACCGCAAATGCGAAAATAGCAATACTCAGAATCAGTTTTGGCGTAATCGTGGGGAACCGACGGAAAGTCAGTGTGGAATCACGACTTAAGCACGTGCAGTAAGTGTTGATTGTTCTTATAATTGGAACGTGCACAGAAAATAATCAGTAGGTTCGTGATGTGAAGAACTGTCCTGATTTACAGCACGTTGCAGCAGATCGTGTCGGGTGTCAATCGCTTACGCCTATTCATCCATCAGTGCAGACACCCGGAAAGATATGAACCTTGCCCGCACTCACAAGCAAGATTTAAAGACATTTAAATAATACCCGCAACTACTGTAGAACAAGCAAATCTAAAGAAGTAGCGAAAGAGGGAACGAGCAGACACCGACGAAACTGCTACAACACACCGGCAACTCGTAAGAATGGAGAACAGAGAGGCTCAAACCATGGTTCATGAAGGAAGGCAACGGATGTATACTGTTTGAACTTCCTCAGCAAATCTGTGGACAGAATCTTCTCGCATAATATTAGATGGAGGGCCATATCTCAAATGTACGAGGAAGGTGGGAGATTCAAAGGGCAATATGTAGCACATCCAGTCGTAAAATGCCATTTTAATTAGTCCCACGATTGTGAAACAGTCTCAGGCTGAAGGAGTCCTACCACGATTTAGCGATTCCCGTAGTAGTATGACTTATTCTGCGGGAATAAACGTATAGACTGCTCAGAGAGCAGAGGTCTTGTCGACAAAAATGGGTTTCCAGATATTCAGAGCACAGTAAATGCGACAATTGCGAGATGGCACTCGATTTCTCATTGAAAATGCAATAATAAATAACAAAATACGGACATACAAACAGATAACCAAACAGCCACCAATCGCACAAACACGGAAGACGAGAAAACCATCGGAGACCAAAGAACAAACAAGTAGTTTAGCCAGCCAACCACGCGAAAACGAATACTCGCAAATAAGACCAATAAAATAAAACCCCAGAGTAATCCTCATTGTTAAGCCTCCCCAACTTTTAAGAATCCCGTATAAACACCATGGTTACCGTCAAGCCGGTATACGGGAAGGGGATGTTCCCTAGAATTCACCTTATCCTGGTGTTATAACTCACGTTAACGAGACGTAGCTGTCCACCGGATTATACGCAGTTAAATCCAGGTAAATCAAGGTTATATTGGTCTAAAAAGCATTTTGCTTTACAATGACCAAAGGATATTGGTGTGTGTGTATGTATACAGATAAACGGAATGATATGACATATATGTTCTATCGTTTGTAATCTGCATCTCAAATGTTGATGAGGGAAGTTGGGTGAGATCTTATGTATTCGTCAAGCGAATGTTTGAAAGTCTCGAGGTTACCACAATCCACAACAGATGTTGGTAGTTTGTTCCACGTGAGGGATACGCGGACTGAAAAAAGTAGCGCCGACAGTTAATGCGGGAACATGGAATGTCAACGGCCAATGGATTCCGTCGGGTCTGTCGGGCCAAATTAACTGTGAACAAATGTTTTAAAGGGTGATTAGGGGTGTTTATTATCTTGAACATCAGGATGAGGTCTCCTCGTATACGCCGATAAGTTAAATCAAACAAATCGAGTTTACGTAGCCTTTCACTGTAGGGAACGTTTCGGAGGCCAATGACCAGCTTGGTCGCGCGGTGGTAGATACACTCTAGCAGTTGTGTATCCTTTTGCAGCCATGGAGACCAGGCTTGGATCGCGTATTCCATTGTCGGCCGGAGATATGTGTTCATGATAATAGGGAGAATTTCAGCCGTAAAACGATAAAATATTCCCCTAAGCATCCCGAGCAGTGCCGAGGTCTTGCGATATACTGATAGACAGTGTTTACTCGGCTTCAGGTTGCTAGAAATCCAGACGCCGAGGTCTTTTTCCTCAGCCACCCATTCCAGTTCATTGGAACCCAGTTTGTATGGGAGGTGGTAGCTCTTCCCCAGATTTATGAGTTTGCATTTCTGGAAATTCAGCGGCAGCCGGTTTTGGATGGACCATTCGTCGATTCTTTGCAGATCTTGCTGTAGCGCATCACAATCAGCCTTTCCATGAATTTCAGACCAGATTTTTATGTCATCAGCAAAAAGTACGGTTTTGCACTGCAGAAGTTTCGGCAGGTCATTCATGTATACCAGGAACAAAATTGGACCAAGAACCGAACCCTGAGGGACACCACTTGTGGCGGCAATTTTATCGAAAAACGCTCCATCGACACGAACTTGGACCGAACAGTCACTCAAATAGTCTTTCAGCCAGCTCAACAGATTTCCCGTCACGCCATACATTTCAAGTTTCCGAAGAAGGATACTGTGATCGACTCGATCAAAGGCTTTGGATATATCCAAGTAACAGGCATGTACAGTAACTCCCGCATCCACTGCTCGTGTCCAGTCATCGAGTGTCACCAGAAGATTGGATAAACAAGAACGATTCTGTCGAAATCCGTGTTGTTTATCGCTCAACAAGGAGTGAATTTCAAGGTGCGATTTCAGGGCTTCTGCTATAATTCGTTCAATTAATTTTGATATTACTGGGCGAAGAGTGACAGGTCTGTAGTTAGATGCACACGTTCTGATACCTCCTTTGAATATGGGGGCTATTATCCCGCATTTCCAATCCTCTGGTACCAACCCTTCTTCCAGAGAACTAGCGAAAAGTTTAGCCAAAGGATAGCTAAGTGGTTCAGCGCAGTGGCGCAGAAGCAGAAGCAGTG